TTCTTGGTACGATGCCTCCATAAGGGACTCAACGGGACAAGTCCTCTCCTTCTTTGGGCCAAGAATCTTGGACAGATGCCTGATCATCCCAGCGACTTATGGAAAAGGGGAGGATGATGATATCAACTTGATGTATACCTCTCGTCGTAAACAAACCGTCAGTCAGACTCATAATATTTACGCTTTTGCAAGGGCCCCAGGAATGCTGCAGTCAAGGAAAATACACAGCCAGGGGGAAGGCGCACCGCCGCTGTATATTTTCATGCCCTTTTCAGTGACGGGCGCCAGTTGGTGCGCGCCACTAAAAGGGAAACATAGGCTGGTGATTAATATTCCATCAGGACCCACTTTGTTGACATTATTAATAACGGCCTTTAATGAACAATTCGGTGAAGACCTTTTGGGGAGGAAGCAGAGCCCTTTTTTTGTGCACTTTATGAAAGATGGGCTGGCATTGAGGTATTACCATTGAGCTTTATGGAAAATGGGAAAGGCATTTGAACAATGCAGTAATATTGATGATGGTTCATTTTAACACATATCTACAATTAGACGAATCCAGGAACATTTGTTTATCTCAACCGTCAACATAGGATTGTGCTTTTTATGGTGCTACGGTAATAAGCAGTACCCATATAAAAGTTCGAGCATACATGGTTGAAATCAAAATAAATGCCACAGACAAAAACTTTGGTAATGTTTCTCAGAGTGAATGTTTATTTTTATTTAAGCTATGTCTCATAGGATGATGACAGTTGTCCTGGTGCATCATAATTATGTCAGTTGACAACATTGATGTGCAAACACAGTTTGAAAAAAAAAGAAGATTTGATTTTTTGTTCACTTTATTAAGTTTAATAAAAGGTCTTATGGTCGCAACAACATGTAAAATGCACAGAGAGCCATATATGTGGTAAAAGTATCATCTAAGCTCCGCTGGAAAACAACTCACTTATGTCCCTGAGCAAGGCAATTTGCAGCAATATTTCTCTGGATAGCTGTGTTGACCGGTTTCAAAGCTCCAAACATGAAATCACATCAGTAGTGGTCACTGAGATGTTAGTTTTAAATTGGAACTCTTGTAACAAAGGAGAGACTACATACACATACTTGTACTATGATGGCATAGGAGTTAAGTTAAAAATTACCACTGTGTTTTCAAAATGAGGTTTTTCCCAAGAACCCTTGAGAGTAGACGTTCACCCTCATTAGGCCAGTATTTCAAACCACAACATGGCTGCATTTAGTTGATAGACCCTGAGTGAGTTTGGTGATCTAGAGATGAGACAAGTCACATTTTTACCAGTGGTTAAAAGGTCACTAGTTCAAGTTCCGCCTTAAAAAAGTACGGTGAAACACTGCAATAATCTACTGACCACTGGAGCAGTTAATTCTTGTTGGTCTTTTTTTCTTCTGACTGAACTTGACCAGTGGTCTATACTTCTGTGTTATTTTCATGCAGCTCATCACCAGCAACAAACTTACAATGCTTATTCTTTATACTTGGGTGTTGGTCTTGAGAAATAATTCTGGTCAAGCAAAATATTTGAGCTACAAACCCTTGTTCCACCAGATTTGTTTGCAGAAAATTTGAGCAGAACTCTCAAAAGAGCCTGAGATTACTAAATCATTTCACTGAAGGACAAACAATAAATGTTACACTGTATAAATAATTTATATATAATTTTAGGATTGACTGATTAATCTACAGTGCAATGTGTCAAGGCAAACACCATTTCCTGTGCATGACAAGTTGGGTATCTTTGGCATATCCCCACTGAAAGTACATGAACATAAACTGACAGCTAATGCAGTCATCACTTCTTAATGACCTTTAAGTGGTTGGAAAACAAGTCCGATGGGAACTTTGGGGACAAGGATGCAAGGTATTTACAGCCAATTAATAAATATTTCATAGACAGTCCGTACCCCTGCTCTGGACCGTCGAGCATTACATAAATGTCCCATCATGCTCCATACATTCCGCTCTGGGAATGGGGGGGGGATCAATGCCCTATTGATTTTCATTTGTGCCGTTCCCAGCCAGATCTTTCTGTGACTTGCGTGAGAGTCTGTGCACAATGAACGGGGTGTTAACAGGTAAACTACGGGCATCAATTATTGATGAGAATTGATCGGGACCGATATTGGTGTAAGTGAGGATACTGGGTTGGAGGGGGATCATTCTAAGTGGTAACAGAGAAAGAGTGGCCTTGGTCACTCGGAGGTTGGGACAAAATCGGTGTAAATATTTTTGTTTGGAAGGGGGGTGACGTACAGCAATTTGACGTGGTACTTTTAAAGAGAATAAGTAATTTTATCCAGTAAAGTTTTGATTTAAAAGAAGTACATGTATGAATAAAAGATTTAGGGGAAAGACAGCATAACTGCTTATCGTTTTTTATTATTTGGTTTCTTTTATTCATTTAATCTCTGGTGTCCATTTTCTTTTAGTTGTGCACTGAAATATTCAATTTACAAGGGAAAATTAGGCTAGCCGTCAATAAAACACTATGCGACACTCAGAGGTCGCATTTCTATGCAACTTCCAATAGGGCTCAATTAATGTGCTTTACACTGAGAATCAGCCAAATAGGATAAAATTCAGGTAGGTATCTTCTGGGCTAAGCAAAGGTTCTCAAGCTTAGAAGCTTCATGAAATTGGCTCTCTGACAGTCAGTCACCTTGGAGTTACTGTGAACACAACATAAGTACGTAGATGTATTGTACAGCAGCTCCTGAATGTAAGTTTGAGAAGGGGACACTGTTCAATTCCGTGCATTCTCTGAGCTCATCTGGGGGTGATGAGCGTAGTGTGTAGTATTTTAATCTGTGAGACTGCCGGTGTGGTAAGTATACGTGAGGCTCAATAATTGACTAATAATGCTAAGGAGCTTACAGTATTACATGGGTGCTTAATCGGGTCTTTGCAGGCTTTTATTGGGATGTAAGGCCACAATATCTGGGCAGGGAAATCCTGGATTTCAAACTCCATAGAATAATACCATACTGCAATGATCAAATCTGCATTGACTGTGAACAGACGCTACAATGAATGTTTGAATGCACGTTACAAATAGAAGACTTTTTGTTGCATTATGATTTCAATGCAAATTGGGAGGAGAGGTCAGAGAAAGGTAACACAGCAGTGTGGTATTCGAGTCCATCACAAGTCCATCACAAGCCATTCGGATGAGCTGTGACAAAAGCATTCTTTTGTCACTGTTCACCTCGTTACTTATGACTGGCCTTGTGGAGGGACTTGTAACTGGAATTATGAAGGGACTTGTGCAGGGACTTGTGAAGGACTTGAATACAAAACCGGTTAATACCCATTTGAAACAGTACAAAATCCACTGGAGACTATCACAGACACACAATTTGTAATGCATACAAACTGATGCAGGCGACAAGAGTCACATACAGTTTCTCTTTTCATTTTCACCGCGCAAGATTTCGTTAAAGATCTGTAACTCATAAGCAGCATTGGTGATCTGCAACAAATTCCATCAGGTTGGGTTGCATTCACCTCTTGTACTTAAACGAAGAAAAAAAAAATCCTCCCTCCCCCCCAAAAAAATAGTGGTATCTCAGTCTGGCTAGGCAGAGGTCTGAGAAGCCCAATTTCTCCATGCTGTTTATATCAGCTCAAGCTCTGACACTGGTGATATACAGGTTTTGAAAGAGTAAATAAGACCACGCTACTAGACACATTCCTAGACAGAGTGGAGCTACAATGTGTGAGTCAACACTGTGAATGTCTGGCCAGATAAACAAGTGCACATTGTACAAGTTTCAAGGCAAATCTGTACCACTGGAGACAGATCAATAAGGCTTAAGGGCTTTCTGTCAAAGAGGGAGCACTTTACATGGAAAAGGCGAGGGGAATGCCAGCATACATCCAATCCAACTCAGTCAAATCAGTGTGCATGACCGATGGCAAGTCCCAAAAACAATACATGTACTACACTTGCTTCACAGACATTATGAATCCACTAGCACGATGTATACAACGCATGTTCTCATGCATAGCTACCAGTAGCGATCAATATCTGTGGCAAGCCCGGTGGCATAATGAGGGGGAGGGGTGGGGCATAGCTTCCCTCCTCCTTTAAGCCGATGCTGCGTGCCATCCAACGCAGAAGTTCCAGAACAAAAATACAGGAGAGCTATGTATTCAACTGAAAATTTTGCTCCACTCGCTGAGCAACAATCCCTATAAAAATGCCGGTAGGGTTCCTTTGTTTTTCCTTTTGTACAGTACTGCAATACCACACAGCCAATATCTCTTCTATTCAGTATTGATGTAGAGTGTGAGGCGTGCATCCAGCATTACGTCCAAACCTTCTGTTAGAACATTAGGAATTAAAACAGCGTATTTTGCATAATGTATTGAAAGGACATGTGTGAACCCTACAAATATGTATAATTGTTGGTTGTCTATCAAAAGCATAGATCGAGGCCTAATTTTTAAATTTCATAACGAAATCTTAAAGTTTAATGAGCCAGTTGAGTATTCCAACAGTGCATGCCCAGAATAAAGTGTGTCTGACGTCATTTGGACGTGTGTTCAAGGTCTGCCTGATCAGCTTGACCATTCACGGACCAGCGCACGTGCTTTATTCCCGAAAGACCTTGCTTTTTTGAAATACCAAACTGCCTCCTTAAAAGGAGGTTGATTCTTTCAATGTGTTCTGCCATGGACCCAGTACAAAAGTATGCCATCAGTGGTAACATTGCGTACACTGACAGAAAGTTTTGTGCCTTTTTCACTCTGCGTTTTGATACATTTGTCATGGCGTCATCACCATGCACTTCTGACAGTTCGCAAGGGGTACCAACTAACACTAGGAGGCACTGTTCCTGCCGGCCTCCTTGCAAGTAACATTTACGCAACAGCAAGGAAATGAGAGAGTCAAATCCTCAACAACATTCTCTTTCAATATCACCCGAACCTGACTCTCAGAAGAAGCTGTAATGTGATGGCTCAAATCCCTTACCTGCTCTGTGATGCGTCTGGCGACCAGGGAGGCAACGTGAATGACGCTCAGGACGCGAATGGCCACCAGGAGTAGAAAAGATGCAGAAAAGAGGTTACGCAAGAATGAAAAGGCCAGGGTCACACGAGCTGAATGGGAAAACCAAGTAAAAAAAAAAAGTAAAATCAGAATGAGGAAATAAATCTGTATTAATGGCATTTTCAACTTTTTCTTTTTTTTCCATGTGAAGCTTAAATTTAAGGCACCAGCACCAAAAAAAATCAGCCATTCTTATGTCTTGAAGGTTGGGATTTTTGCAAATTGTGAAGGACACATTGTAAAATATTCCCAGCATACACAGCTGTCTAAACATCTGCATTACGCAAATCAAGCTGTTTTTGTGGACATGCAAAATGAAGTGTGTTATCAAATACAGACGATGGAAGGCCTTTTCATAAATGTCATCATGCTTTGCCGTTTTGCTTTCGGCAAGGCATACTATTCACACTGATTTGCAGAGATGTCAATCATGATATTTTTATTCGTTACATGACAGAGCCTGTCAAAGCTGGTCAAAACCAGGCCTGAATTTGACCCCTTCACAGGAGCAGAGCCCATGTTTAAGCCTAAAAGAGCTTGGGGGGTGGAATCCGCCCCCCTCAATATTTTTCTGATATGGCCCGCAGTGCATTTTTTGGGGGAGTTGAGCCTTTAGGAGTTTTCAGAGTAACTCTTTTGGGACATTTTGACACCATTTTTGCAAAAAATTAACATACCATTCTCGTGTAGCACACATTTTTCCGCGACGGGTTAGCCAAAAATACTTTTTCCACTGTGATGCTTAATGCACGCCTACTGGCACACATTTAGCCATGAACTTCAAATGACCATAACAACAAAACCATATGTCTGATTGAGTTCAAACTTCACCTTTGTACATATAGGGTCTCTACATGCATGCCAATGTTTAAAAAAAAATAGGCATTGCACAGATGAGTTCTAGGGGGAGGGGCCAGAATTCCCCCTCCCTTCCCCACTGTGAGACGGGCCAAAATAACCCAGCTCTTTTAGGGTTAAGCTGTGTTGGATTGTTGTTGGTGGGATAACGGGAGTTGCCAAAATCTGAAGTTCAACATGAATCTGACGTAACGTTCACTTAAGTCAAGGCCTGTGGACTGTTTGTGCATATTAAGGTAGTGTAGTAAATGATAGATACCTTGGAGTTGACAGACTAAACAAGAATTAAAAAAAAAAATCCCACATTTTCACATGGGTTACTTTTGGAGTATTCAAGTGATGGGCAAGGACATAACAGGGAACACTGCTGATATAATGACACTCACTTTCACTTGTGTCTCAGTGAAGAAAAGCCTCAAATTAATTCTTTGTGCAGATTTTATCAACAGAATGTTGATGTTTTGCATAATTCACACCCATGTTTCTTCTTCCATTTGTCTAGTGCACTAAAAAAAAGGAGACTTGGAGCAACATGCACCCCAAACTTTAAAATACTCTGAGATGAAGTATCGTGGCGGAGGGCCGGGCACTTTTCCTTCCGGCAATTCAACAATTTGTTTTGTTTTTGGGTCGGTACAGCACGCTGCTCCCACATCCACTTCCCTTTAAGACCAATGCGATCCAGCCACCCATGCCCACCAACTCTGTAGCTGTGTTTTTTTTTTTGTTTCTCCGCTGCATCCCAGAGGCCAAGTATTGATTCCTCAAGATAACAAACACAACGACCAGCACAGTATCTCTTAATCAAGTCTAATTACAGAACCCCCCCTCCCTCTATGTGTCCCCCTCCAACATCTTTTCCTTCTCTTACTGATGTTAGTTTTAGTGATTGTATCTCGTCGCTCATCCGAGAGCATTGATTTGAAGTTCCCTGTCGTCCATGCACCCCTCTAAATAAATTCCCGGGGGAAGTTTACAAACTCGAGGGGGGGGAGGGGAGGAAATTTCTTTTCTTGTCTTTTTTTTTTTGAAGGGGGGGGGGTTACTTACCAAAACCCATTGTTGCCATCGACAGTAGCAGCTGCAGAAATGACTTCTCATCAGAGCTGGCACTGAAACATCAATAGGGAATTTCCTTTTAACACGTCTGGGGAATTCGATTTGGTTTGGGGATGGTTTTAAGTTCATTAACACAGTTTTTTGTCGTTCTTTTTTTCCGTGCGGGGGAGGGGGAAATCTTCAGTTCCAACATTTGAAAATGACAATGTTTCAGCTACGTACACATATGTAGGATACTGCATCTGAGGTCAAGTCAGGAAAAAAAAAAAAAGACCCCTTTTTTTCTTAAAAGCTAGTGAGTAGTTTAATAAGGAGATTGGGTATTGAGTTCTCCATTTCATACGTAAGTAATTGGCCTAAGGCATGTGCAAACATATGAAAATCCCCTGAATACCACACTTAATCAAGTAGTGATTCCTTCAAAGTACAGTGCAATTCTGGAGAGAAAACTTTAACAGGGAAATTTGGGAAAGAATAAGTGTTTGCACGTTAAGGGAAAATATCGTCTCATTCTCAGAGGACCAGATGGACTGAATTCCCTTACTAGTACATGTACTGGTATGTGGTACAAATGTGGCTTTTGTTTATTTTTCCTTCTTCTTCCAAATTCCATACTACCTCAAGGCAAAGCCTGCACAGGTCTTCTACAAGGTTCAACCATAAAATAGGGAAAAGATTCTTCTCCAGTTATTTTTTTTCTCTCCGGACAAGATGCCAGCACATTACTTGAACACTTAAAAATCTAATTGCAGCTGGAAAAGTAACTCTCTTTTTTGTTCATCTCCAAACACAGCAGAGCTTGACTAAATTACAAACAAGCCTTAATTTGATATCTAATCATTTTGTGTTTTTGTTGAAAATTTTCCTGACTTTCAAATTTACACATCTTCTAATGTCACAACAAAGCCCTCGTATCTCCCTTCCAAAAAATGTGAAAAGAGTCCGATCACGTCTCTGATAATTGCTTAGTCCCGCAAAGACCACTTATCAATGTGCTTTCTCCTTAATCAATTTAGACATCCTTCATGAGGTAAGTCACTCGTGTATTAGTAATCTCTGCTCTTGGGGAAGAAGGAAATAAATGCCACCACAACTGGAAAAAAAGAAGAAAAAAAAAAGAGATGGAATAACAAGAAATCCACAGTGGCACAATGTCATGGGTTACGTGCTCGCCAAAAACTTACACTTGATTCACCTTTACAAATAACACAACTGCATTTGGGTTGAATTGAGGATAAATACATTTATTGGTTTTTTCAATGACTTGATGATTTTCAATGGAGAATTTCACTAGGGTATTGCTGAGAGTGCCTATAAGGTTTTCATATTATACGGAGGTGCAATTTCATTTGTGGGTTCTTTGTAGTTTAGAGGGCAATTGTGTGTCAGTGGATTTCTACTCACTGGAGAGTGCGTGGTTACTTGTCCCAAGGGGCGAAAATGCAATTAACTTGTGGAATTGCTTTATAAAGGTATTTTTGTCCCTTTAATAGCATATTCTGAGCAAAAATAACTGAAGTAAGATGAATTCCTATAGCAATGTGGAAAAAGGTGATTTTCTGGCATGTTTCTGCAGTGCCTTTTTCAACAGACAAGGAGATTGAAGGGGATTTAGTTCAAGCTTTTCCACAAACCTTTGGATTAGTCCTGACTGTGGAATGTAATTTCACCGCTAAACTAAGAAAATGACTGCATATGTAGAAACATTGGGAAATTTTTGATCCCATTTAAATATGACACAACAATGCCAGTACATTTTCTTTTGTTAGTATTTTCACATTCACACAACAAATTAATCAGCGGTGAAAATTAAAAGAAAGTTTGGCCCAGCTTTTATGAAAGGGGAAAAATCTACAGGTCTATTCCTTTCGACAGAAAAGGATTTGCTACTTTAGGATTGGTTGCAAATGTAAACTAAACTCTTTTCTTTTCGTTTCTTTGAAAGTGCTGAAAGATTTCACAGTTTTCACAACTGAAGTAAAACGAGCCATTTTTAATTTCGCCGTTGTGAATTTAAAATAAATCAGTCATTTATGTTCATTCACTATGCATGATAGGATGAGCGCCAAATATATTACTGCATAAAACAAGAAAAGAACCACAAAAGGTACAAAGAGAGGAATATTACAAAGAGCGATAAATTTACGAGGGGGAAAAAGTTTTTTATAAGAGCACGTGCCCTGAGGATTTCTCTAATTATGAGAAGTCTAAAGGGCTGAGGGACTTTGATGAAGCTGTGTGCATGAAGGGTATGACGGGGGATCTGGGGATCTGATCATCAGCAGTTAGCCCCAGGGTGGGATCAAGGCTTGACAGGTGCTGACTTCTCTAGCTGATGGACTTTTTCCCCCCTTTGCGGGAATGTACGCATTTCTTACCGGTGTGATTCCGCTGACATTTCTGCTTTTGCTTTTTTTTACCCCGGTGAAGATGGGGAAAATTTGGCATTCTGCTTACAGTTACTTTGGGTGTGCTTTCATTAATTTTTTTCTTTCTAAATATGGTTCATCTCGGTATACTGTAATCCTTAAACTTATGGGACTGAATAGGAGAGGGGGGAGTGAATCAAAACAAAATATCTGTTAAAATGTAGGTTTCATCCACTGTTTGTTTTACGCAGAACTATGGTTGAATACAGAGGAAAAACAACGTAGGAGTGATTCACAATAACAGTGCCACACAAAATACAAATCACAGAAAGGCAAGTTTTGCAGCACACTGTCAAAATTGGCAAATTTGTTTCTGACCAATACAATCCAAGTAAGAATGTGTGCATGCATGTGCCGGTATAAAGAGTACACATACACATAAATGTAACTGGATCACTGGCGCTTTACATCTACTGAAGTGATTATAGACATTATGGGCAAAGGTTGTATAGCGCCAAAGGCGCAAGGTGGATAACTCTGCCTGAAAGGTGTAATCACCACGGGTGCCGTTTGAGCAAGCGATACGCCTGCGCGGTTTACGGTAATGCTTGGGCGCAGGCTCACCAGGTGCACGTGCCTGCCGCGGCACCTGCGCCTTTGCATTAATGCGCACTGCGCAGGCGTATCACTTGCTGAAATGGCGCCCATGCGATTACAACGTTTTACGTGTATTCACGGTGAAGTTCTCCATCTTGCGGCGCTATATGATCTTTGGTTATGGGCGACTAAAATGTCTTGGGGACAAGTTTTTGTCCCACAACTCCTTCCAGACTTTCCTAACAACAGAAAGTGCCCCCTTAATGCAGTGACAGGCCTGGGCACATGTGCGAGTACGTGTACTTATCAGACTTCCAAATGCATTTCTGAATTTAATTTAACCTTGCCAAATCCCACAAAAATTCCATGTGATTTCTACTAAACCTTAGGGGGGGTTAAGAATAGCTACTGTAGGATACCGCATTCGTCAACGAAGAATAGGCGCTATCTTATGCATGCAAGATATTGACTTTCATGTTGATAAATGACCTCTTCAAAACAAATGCTTGACGGGACACTCTACGTAACTTGTTCCAAGTAAGCTTGGAACCAAAGACGGATTGGTTTCAGAATAAGGCTTTTGATAATGGGTTAGAACAGAGTTCCAGTCCTGTTGCATAGCCTGTGTGTCTACAAACTCAAGTTCCCAATCACTGAAAGGTAGGTACTTACTCAATGTGGCCATTAGAATGGATTTTTTTTCCTTCTGTACACCTTGTACAAAGGTTTATGAGGGCCTGATGAGGCAAATGACTTTAATTAATAATTTCAGCTCTGCTTTACAGGCGAAGGGGTGATGTACAAAGACAGCTAAGCCTACACAGTTTAAGAGGAAATTGAAAAAAACTCATGATCTTATCTGGCCTATTGCCTCAGGAAACTTTCACTGTATATATGATGAAAAAAAAAGCAATTAAAACAAGTCTGGGCTTCAAATTAAGATGTTATTCATAGACAGTTTTCCTCGTCACAAATTTCGCACAAGAGAGAAAAAAGGAAGTGGCTTCTTTAAAAAGTAATACTAATAAGAAAGTGAAACTGAAACTTATCCATCTCCTGACCTTTCGGGCTGACATTTTCAGCAAAATATGTATGAAAGATATCCGATCAGATTTTTGGTAAGATATACCAAGTCCGATCACAATCAGATTACAGTAATTGAGACGCAGCGCTAATGAGCTTTGGAACTCTAGACGCAGGAGAATGATGCAATCCATACCTGTGCATTTTCTTACATTATTTTTTTTTTTCTTCCCTCCTGAAACGTCCTTTCACTAATTACCACTCACGCTACACAGTTCTAATGTTATGGTGTTAGCCTGCCTCGGCAATTGAGTTTACAATGTGACGGATAATTTGAACAAATTTGTATAGGACCAGCAAGTCCAATCTGCCCGTTGAATAGGTAGTAATTCAGTTACCAATGCTGGCTAAAAGAATGGCAAAGGATGGGCAAACAGCTAAACCACAAAGCATGATATTGTATAGCTTTTGTGGGATATGTTAGTATGCACACACACACGTGTGAATTCCAGCCAAAGTGCACTTTGCGTTTGGGAACAAGTTACAGGCTGATACTTTTCTGCTATAAGCGAGCATTAGCGGAATTTTCCATGCTGAAATGAAATTCAGTCACCTGATGCCAATCCGTGTAGGATGTTCGAAAGACACAAATTCCTCATGAATATTGCCACTGCAAAACATACAAATTCAAGACTGTAATGCCTATTTAAGGATAAATGTATGTAGGGGATGGACCTTTGATATTAAGCTCTGTTCAATCGTATGTGGTTGACGTCAACCACATGGCACTCTGAGCTGAGACAAAGTGCAGTTCATTCACACTGCCCTGGTGGCCAAGTATAACAAATTACGAAAACCCAACTTTTCGGAAAGAAAATACTACAGCTTTCTAAGTATATTTGGAGTCTTTCTTTGGCTGTGGTGGATTGACAGAGAAGTGATGGAATATGGAAAGTTTCCACAAGTGTGGAAGAGGTGGACGAGGAGCTAGTGAGTTCTTCAAATCAAGGAGACCTGCAATTTTCAAAAGACTTTAGCGGCACTGTTCACTGCAGAATCTACCTGTCATGTCTGTGCGTATGAAAGCACACACGATGGCGGTCCACCTTCAACGGTTTGTGTTTTGTAATGTTGTAACGAGGGATGCAACAGTGCAGGAAGGGCAAAATTCATGTGTTCAGAAATAAGACGGATCAAAGTTGTAATTGAATTAAAACTCTCACCTGAAAAATTCATTCAAAAAAAATCATGATCAAACCATGTTCAGACAGGAAGACGGGTCAATATCTGTGCATGAGCGTAGCCCTGTCTTATTTTACAGGGAGAATAATGCATCCATAAAGCACTGAGCTCGTATGAGGTTATCATTACTCTGGAATCCGGCCATGTCCTAGCTACCACCGTTTCCCAGGTTACAGCCTTAATGAATTGAGGCATTAGTGAGATGCGACGTCTCGATAACGTATATACAGACGCTCTCTTACTTGATCCACTCCTCGGGCACCTTCATGGGATGAGCCATCATGTTGGATTCCTGCTGCATGGCCCACAGGATGGAGAACATGGCCAGCGTGGCTATCCCGCAGTCTGATATGATGCCTGTTCAAGAGGGATAATGGGAAGAACTGGGCCATGAGGTGGCTGTTCAATATCACTTACTGCTTTGGTGTGGTTCATGGATTTTTGGACTCAACACCTGAAGGACGTATGGCACCAGAGACAAAACCAAGGGTGTCATGCATCTTAGAGGGGGGCGGGGAGAGGAATGCCCATCCCAAATTCTTGCATTGAGGAACGGTTGTGTTATTTCACATGGGTTAAAAGTTGATTTATTTCAAAACGGAATTATGACATACATGCATCCATGACTTCATTCATGGCACATTCTGCAAGAAAAATATACAAGCATCCTTCTAATTACAGTGAGCTTTCCTGCCTGACAAGGAAATATGAGTTTTTGCAAATGGACGCAAGTTCATATTACAATAGCAAAATTAAAAGCCTGAAAAGGGGTTGGGAATACGTTGGAAAACATAAATAATTTCTTTTGGGCAACATTTGGCAATATTTCACACTAAGCGTTTTTTAGTTTAATTATTTGAACCATATTTAGAGAAAGTTTAATTTTGGAGAGAAAAAAATCTTATCAAAGCTTTTTACCAACTTCATCACTTCAGTCTTGATTTACAGTATTTTATAGTTTCTTGTTGAGCCTGTTTGGGCATTGTGACTGGATCCCATAAAATGAGTCTTATGGCAATTGTTCAGTTATCCTATTCTAACTTACATTAGGAAGACCAAACCAAGGTCCTTGTTTTGATGTTTATTTGGCATCCTGATTAACATGGATAGTACACTGTATGTGTGTCAAAATATGTTAACAGTTCCTTCTGGTTCTACTGTGCAAAATCCTTTAAAGGCCTGTGACTCAAAAGTGGGCCTGATGACTTGTGATTCATGTTCCTGGGTTGGATCACATTGGTTGATTGCAAACCCCTCTTTCCAGATTTGTCAAAATTCATCAGGAGATGTGGGAGAAATTTGCAGGAAGCCCAGTGACTATCACTTTCAGCACAGATTGATATGCCTTACATGTTGATGCGGGGAGAATGAGCCATTTGATTCCTACAGATTCAAGAAGGTTCCAGACAATAGAGCCTCAGGAGTATACAAATACAGCATGGTTTTGAGGGGAAATAGTGGGAATTGCTGGTCCCGAGGTGTAGGTCAGCTTGACTACATGTACCTCCAGACACAAAGTGGAAGGAGGTAGTCAAACTGACTCACACCGAGGGACCAGTAATTCCCACTATTTTCCCGAAATAAACCATGCTGTATTTGTTTTACTACACTTCATAAATATTCAAACAGAAATCTCACGTTAATTGTACTCACAGACGCCATTGTTGTTTCTGAGCTGCTAAATTTCCATGTGATGATAGTGGGGTGCAGATGTGCACAGAAACAGGGCTTCAATAGTCTGGTGCTGACATACGTTTTTGGTCTTTATTGTAATAGTTATTAGGATACAACTCCAGACTGGTTCCGTAAAGATTACATGACACAGACCACATATTTACGCGGCGGGTTCCAGAGATGTTTTTTTATGCTACCAGAAAAAACTACGGCACGGCAGCGAGGTGGATACTCACCGCTATGACGTCACCTGGTTGCGTATCATTTCTACTTCCCAGACGCGAGGTGGATTCGGCCAATGACGCGCTCCGATTTGCTCATGAATATTTATGAGGTGTAGTATAGGGGTATCCTATCGCATCTAGCAATGATACACATTAATCTGCTAACTCAAATTTCTAAGTCCTACACCAATAACCCATATTGGGGGCAGCAGACAACATGGATGGAACCCATCCAGTGAAAATGAGCATGTCAAATGAATTACATGGTGAGCAGACATTGGCCCACATGCAACTCTGAACAAAAAGGATCAAAACATTTATGACAAGCAATATCTGGCACTATATTTAGGCAAAAATTGTCCAATCACGGGCAAAATGTAAGTGACTTTTTTTTTTTTTTGGCAGTGAGGTTTAATTCAACCCCTCCCACCTAAATGGCGAATGTGTGTGGGGGAGGGGGAGGGTTTCCGCAATACACAAGCACTGATACATGTTATACAATGTCCATTTGGAAGGTTTGACTTTTACCGAGAGAGGACCACTCAGCACAAACCATCAAGTGCTCTCCTACAATACACTGCAACCTTCATGCACACTGTTTACAAGTACATATGCCCGCTTTAGTGATGACAAAGAGAGAACAAAGTATAACGGGCACGTCAGTGACAATGTATATGTTTGCTGACGTACATGTGCTAACCCTTCAAGGAATTTACGGTTAAGTGCACAGATTCAAATAACGACTGGTTAGGCATGTCCAACGTCATTTGTGTGCATCCCACACACTGGAATTCTCATGAGTGGTTACACAATGCCATCTACTCTTTCAACATGTAGCGCATTCCCAACTAAAATCAAACGTGCCACATGGCTAGCCAACCAAAAAGAAGTGTGAAAGCCAGCAAGTTACCCTAGCTGAATTAACCATTGAAACCAGTATCCAAATCCATTACATTTGTCAAGGTTCGAAAGGGGGGCTTTCAGTTTAAAGCTGACAATCTATGTGAATCAATCATTCCTGAAAATAGCTTTAACGAGACTTGATAGAGAAATGCACTTGTCAAGAGTAATAATATCAAAGTATACTGTTCAATTGGGCTTATCTTGAAAAGCCACGCCAGACTCAGCGTATCTAAATGGCACTGCATCTTGCACCATCGTTAAGATTAGGGTTACAAAATAACTGGGGATTTCAGCTGACAGGCCACTCCCAAATTTGTCTCGACAGGGCCCAGGTTCAAACGCCTCTGTAAAAATGTCTAATTGTGTTCAAACTTACCCTCTTCTTTCATTAATGTTAGCAGCAGCAACACAACAGATACGACTACAAGAGCAGCAAGTATCCTGACCCAAAGAAAAGCAGAGCGGGTGACAATGTGAATCATCAAACTGAACATGTTTCTGGTCACACAATGCCAAAGGATGTGAAATAGCAACAATCACCTCAGCAGGATCTACTGACGAGAATAATAAATCAGATCAAATTATGAAAAATGTACATACACTACTAGAAATGTTTCAAAATACCATGAATACATTGCGTACACACACACATGCCTAGTGTGGACATTGATTTGCTCTCCTCCGGTTAAGGAAACTCAGGGAAAATGCTCACTACGATAACTGTTTTAAGCTAGATATTTAACTATAATTTCCTGGACTGTTCCTCTTCATTTCACTACCGATGACCCTGACCCCAAAATGCCTCTGAAGCTGTTTCTCAGAGAGGGGAAAACACTGTGTGGACATGTGTGAGTCCACATGTCTTCTTACCCTACATTATGTGGACCTCTTTTGTATGTCACCCAGGGTTTGCCCCTAACTATTTTCTCACTTGCCAGCCAAACCAGCAGTGAAGGCTTTTAATTTGTCTGCCAGCATTTTCACACGTACACGCATATACATGTATGTAGGCCCGGCAAAATGTACATACAATGTACCTACATGTATTGTACATGCTAGTTCTCTACTGTGTCGAGTACCTGTAGCGCGCGAACCAAACACGAAATCACAACCGCAACATTTCTAGTGTCACAACTACCAATGACCAATCAGAAAAACCAGTATTGCATATTCATACTATAGCACCCGTAATGCATACATGTACACACACACTCACGTCATACGCGTGGGATGCATATTCATGAACTTACATACATGTACCTCTGCGATGAAGTGCATGAAAGCACGTGCTGATTATTAATGTGACCTTCATTGGTAGAGTACATTATTAGCGTTGGGTATCACAGCCTTCAAGAGCTTGTGACAAATAATTGTGCTGGCATTTCTGAAACCAAGCATGATTTGCTTACTATTGCAAATCACTTGACCTCTCAGGTTACTTGGCTTGCAAGGACTACCCATATCCATTGTGAAAATGCCATCACTTCATAACGGAGAAAGCAAGCCTCTCAAATCCAGCAATGCTTCGGTTCTTCACTGAATAATCTCTGGAGGACACTGCAAGGTGCAAAGTCTGTTGACTAGTCTTCCCGGCATTGCTCCTGGTTGACTAAATTTCCAAAAGCGTATGCCGTGTCTGGCACCACTTTGAGGGGACAATGTCTTTTTGTTTGGAAACTGGCGACTGAGTTGGTTTGCACAAAAAAATTGTCCCAGTAACAAATTTGTCCCCACAATAACCATCATTCAGCAATGCGTGAAGTGCCCACAAGTGAGGCTCAAACATGCATATGTGCATACAAAAGCAAACGTTCCCCTCAGAGACAGCCTGGCATTCCCTGTAGGACTGTGACTGACGGGTACCTGGATATCTTCAGTCCCAGAATCTCTGCTATCCTAATACCTGAGACTCAACTGTTACAGGCGAAACCTCTTGACTCTGATACTTTTTTTACATGCTTCTCTGAATGAGATGTACCACTTCAAGGGGACTTTTAGTACTGGCATTTACAAAAACATGTGGAGAGAGCACTCCATGGCAGTGTAGTACAGAGAAATTTTCCAACCAAATCATGTAATAAAAGAAAGCTTGACTTATCAGTCTAAGAGTCACACTTTCATCGGTGTCCAACTGTTTGAAACAAAGCAGTCCCTACCTAGGCTGCCCCTAGTGGGCGTGCAAAGCGAGTGTTTCCAATTACGAGACACGGAGCTCAATGGAAAGTTCTACGCTGTTTCAACTGGATGCCTTCAAATAAATTACCTGGTGTCAAGAACCATTTTTCAGTGTAACACTTACCACCTGACAGCTGGTGTGCTTGAAGATAAAAGAGCGTAACCGATGATGACAGAGAGTAAGTAGCTTATCCCAGCTGCACCAAGTATCAAAGACTGGTAGGAAGGAAATGAACAATAATGTTTAACAAATCTATCTCATATTCTTCAACATTATCAATTTCACGGAACCACAAAAGGGCCATTGTTCACAGAATGCTATCAAAGGTGCTTTCACACTGTTTACACCCTTGGGCAGTCAGGTGGGAAGTCGGGCATGCATTCTTTAGTTGACTCCACGTCCTTTGATATCCCAATTTATTTTCTGCTAGGGCTTGAAATAAAAGTGCGTTTCAGTCCTACCCTGGACCCAAACTCAGCTAGCCTCATGGCTCTTCTAAATACCAAGTTATGCACTCATGATTAGCACTTTGTGTCAGCACTGTTACGTACAGTTGCAAAAGGTGCATTGACATATGCCTGTTATTCTTCCCTAAACTCCTAGCACCATACAACTGTATGTTCTGCTATTAAACGAACTGGGTGACAGTATTTTTCTGACTTGAATACATGAAGTAAAGCTTTGTTTACGTGTTAAACTTGCCACCTTAGTTGCAGCAAACGGAGCACATTTTCAACTTTTTGGATCTTAATATTCATGAGCCAAGGCATGATGCCACTCAAGGCAGAACAGGAGGGTCTCCGGATAGCTTTTGTGTACGAAATATGTATCACAACTTTTCTACATTTTCTTGAAGTAGGTTCCGTTTCATACTTGGTTTTCACATTAAACACCATGTCTGGACAATAGTAATGGCCAATATTTTTTCAAAGATTATTGGTGGGTGATTTCGAAGGACCGATATTTGTACTGTTTTAATGCTCTTTCTGACAAGGAGTGCCTTCTATGACAACACAAATATAGCACCCCCATGCATACATTGATAAAAGCATTTTCTAAGAATTACGTGTAACATCTCCTTTTCACTTCCAAAACAAGAATTTAGATCTTGTTTCATTTTGTAACACATGGTAGTAAGCATGAAAATAAACTGAGCTGAATATCCAATGCGTGTTAACTTTAAGCAGAGATTCTTCACTTACAGCAACAGGGCCCTCAAACTGGGCCCTGACTGCATGTTTGCAACGGTTTTATGAAGACTACTAAGCTCTTACTTGCAGGGAATCCATCAATTTCATAAGCACAGCAAAAGAGGAAAAAGCGACCTTCATCAGTGATGTTACAATATAAATTTGCAAGTCCCTATGAATGAGCAACTGTTTGTAAACAACATGAAATGCTATTTTAAAAGCAGCATGATTACCTGCAGCGATACATCAGCAGTGGTGCAAAAAACATCTTTGTATGAACTGTGAAGGCCGGCTCAAACTTCAGGCAACACAAAAGCAAAACGAATTTGACACCACGACAACTTAGTGGGAAAATTTTGCTCGAGTTGAAATGTGTTCAACTTTTATGCATTCGCTTTGCGATTATTTGATCTGACGTCACAAATACGCGCCAAGTATGAACCAGAGCAAGGACACTGGACCCTGTTCATCAAGGTTTTCCCTCCTGCTTCTGAAATTTCCTTCCTCATTTCCGATTACTTTAGCAATGCAATCAATTGAGAATGGCATTGAGGGAGAAACATTCATTTTGGGCTATGCCAAATATCCAAATATTTGATCGATTCTTGAATCTTCAAATGTTATTTTTTGAATTTGAATATTTAAATGCAAAATTCACGAAAAGGAAGGGACAATTTTTTGTTTTACATGAGAAAAATTGCACTTTGAAGGCTTGTTGCAAGCAGTTTCAAATAAAAAGTGTCAGAAATCCTACAATTTAAAAAGTAAAATATTCTTTACACGACTTAAAAGGAGTAGAAATTTTCAACAGGGCAAGAAGTCTTGTTCATCTCTTAAATTTTGCTAAATCATAACTGAAGATACTCCTAGATGTGAGAAGCTATTATATTGATTAGAATGTAAAATTGTGTGTGTTATTGCAACTGATTTTGTATGGTTTGTTCATCAACAATCTGCCACTCGGTGCGACTGAACATTCGGATATTCGATCAAATTGAAGGTCGAATATTTGAAAAGTGAATTATATGAATTGACTCAGCCCTACATGCATTTCTGTAAAGCTTGTCATTGCTGAATGCTGACCACACGCACCTTCATGAGGAGTGGCTGTTCCTCAATCTGCTCGGCCATGCGACTGCTGGTCCTGACTGACACCCGGACCAACTCCACGGCCTCAATAGTCAGGAAGACTGGCTCTGACAGCCAGATTAGCTTATCGTAGACCCACAGGAACAGGTAGGGTACTACAGTGATGGGCAAGGCTAGTATGATGCAGAACAGTGCTGTTTGAAAGAACGGTATGAGCGACACCTGCATGTGTATGAAGAATATTGTTAGAAATTGACAAGCCTCCATTTTTTCTTTCTTTGAATGTCAGTCTTTCAAAGTAATTTAATTTAGAGATTCTCAATGACACTAAAATGTAATACGTTCAAGTTAAAATAAAAGCACACAATGTTTGTAAATTATATTTAGAATCATTCCACTAACTTATGGTGTTTTTTTGGTTTATCACTGCAGGAGAATCAGAGAGACAAGATCTTTTATTTCAGGAAACTGCAATTCACCACATTAATTTGTCTTGGAAAACACACAAGTCCACAGACCACTGTCTATTCCTTATTGGATGGAAATGCATGTACATGTCTGGAGTCAATCAATGTGTTAAAACCATCAAAAAGTAAAAACCTTAAATCTTTAGAAGGAAATCAGTCTTTCAGTGATTGCTCACAGCGACAATGCAGCGATCCATTTTTCTGGAAGCAACAATTGCACCTGGATGACTCATTCCATCATAAAGTCAGCTATTTCATTAATTATTTATTTACCAGTATGTATCAATATGATGTGTTTTGGCAAGTAAACATGGTAAAGTGGTGAGCCGTGGGGGAAAAAATTAGGCCTAATGTTTAGGACCGTATAGTAGCCAGGTCCCTTCTGGTAATTTCACCAACTGTTACCAAGTGTGCTTGGTTTTTCAGTAGGTGGCAAAATACATGTGAGGGCATGAAGGGGCCTGGAGACTCTACTGTAATGGATGTTAATTCTTTCACTTTTGTGTGGACCCTAAACTTACAACATAAGCCTTATGCTTATTGTTAATAGTAATGTGTAATTGTGTATGGGTGATTTTGCATAATGGTAGTAAGGCATTGTGGGAAGGAAAAAAGGGCAATGATTGCTCCTTTTTCCTTTCTGCAGACATGACAGACTGCATTCCTAAGAACGTCGGTCACTTTGGCACCTTGCCAACTCGGCACGTCTACCAACTTGACACCTCGTCAACTTGGCACCACGTCAGCGCCTAGCCAACTCGGCACCTTGCCAATTTAGCACCTCAAATGTTGCCTCCGGTCTGCATTGTCCAACTCGGCACCTGACCGACTCGGCACTCGAACCGAAGCAATTGGTTCTAATTCCGAGCATGTGCTTCGTTAATTTTAAATGATTTGGAGATTGGGTAATCCGCATGGATTATGGTAACCCAATTAGTTCAACAAAGAAATTCATAAAGAAACATAAAGAAAAAGATTGAAGGAAACCCATTTTTGAAATTTAAGTCCGATTTTATTTTAAAAAGAGAAAAATAACCCTTGCTTTATCTTGGCAACTCTATGAAAGCTCGTTATCGAAGTTGCCCCTGTGTCTCCAGCCCCCCTGGCAGACCCAACCTGACCAACAAGCCGAGTGGCTACTGGGCCCAACTGAATACTCATATTGCTCTGCAAATACACGGCCCAGCCCACTGTGCACGCAACGCTGGCAACTGGTCACAGCTTACGGGCAGGCAGGGTGATCCATGCCGGCTGGGTCCAGCCGGTTATACTAACTGGGAGAGCTAAGACAGTGGTGGACTAGGCACCCTCTCGAAAAAAAAAAAAGACTGAGGCCAAGCCCTTTTTGAGAAACGAGCTATTTTAGAAACTTTTCTTGAACTTTTCTTGTCTAAAGATTTGGAGGTGTAGATTCCATTAATATAAAAACAAAATCTCCAAACAATGGGTCGGTTGGTTGGTTGGTTAGTGCAATGTTCCTGTACCTCATTCGCTTAGTCTTACTCTATCTACCGCGTACCGCATACAGTACGTTCCGTCCGTGTAGGTGCCGAGTTTGAGAGGTACCGTGTTGGCAAGGTGAATGCCGAGCTGGCAAGGTGCCGAGTTGGTGGGTGCCGAGTTGACCAGGTGCCGCGTTCGCAGGTACCAAGTTGGCAAGGTGCCGAAGTGACCGGTTACCCATTTCTAATTCATATCATACCCACTGCTTGTGCAACTTCCAACACGGCCAACATCATGAACATGGGCATGTCAAAAAGAGTTGACATTTCAAAATGAAAAACGAATCCGATAATTTGATATAATTTCTTCTATCTTTAGAAATGACTTAATATTGTCAGTTTTTCAAACTTACCAATACACCTGGCAAAGCAGCGCCAATTAGTGTGTGTAACATCATCATCAAGGACAATCTAAGCACAACCTCCGGCCCACAAAATGACCCAAAGAGGGGCATCGTTATCAGCCAAAGTAATGGCACAATTGATAAACATTCCATAGGGAAACACATAATGACTACTTATTACTTATTTGTCGATATTAAAGAAAATGTTAGGTCTTTATAAGTGCTTTAATCTTAACCCCTAGCAAAGTGGTTACTAATCGTGGAAACACACTGGCACTGCAGCGCACGCAGACGACGGGTTCGAATTTCGCAGCAAGCAAATAGTCCGTTTCTCTAATAGTAACACGCCAACTTTCACGTTATGACTATAACTTACATGTGGCGGGTACCAGACTTCAGGACTACGCGTTTTTTCCCCAGCATGCATTATAGTCGGAAAATGGCAGCGCTTCCGGTGATGTTACGTATGATGCAGCGTTAGCGCTCATAAATTGTTTAATTTCTTGAATTTTGTGTATTTTCATACTGTGGCTCACTTTTACAAGCGGTAACAAGCATGGAAGGCATTAACTGGCGAAATATTAGAGGCATCGTAACCTCTTGTGGGGTGGAAACGTTTATGAAAGCAGTGGAAATTTGGCTGTTGAAACCGCACGTCGTTAACCGTAGACTTTCAGGAGCAGTCGTTGTGTGCAGAACGCACACGACGTGTAAGAACAGTGCAGCGACGACGTTACGGCAGCTTATCAAACAGTTTTCAACCACAAGCTGCGAATTGAGAGACAGTTTCCTTACTGAGAGTATTGCAACATTTACGGAAGACCACTTGCATGACCTTGATTTGTCACATGGTAAAATTGGGGGTAGGCCTAGGCCTAAAAATGGAAACCTTCCAGAAAATGAGCGCGTCAAAAGAGTATTTGAACTGGACGAGCAGAGTCACGATGTTGCAACTACTAGTCCACAGCTGTCAGATGAAACATACAGTTCAGCAGTTGAGCTGTATGTGAGGAAGCTTATACCGCGAATCACTGGACATACCAGACATGGAAATACTGAAGAATCCATGAATGAAATAATAATGATTGGTAATTAATAGCCTGACCGCCTTTTTAAACATTTGGACAGGGTCGGACTATTGACCGACAATATCTGAATGTTTAAAAAGGCAATTTGTAGAGTCTAAGTTACTGTAACTTGGACATGTTGGACTACATGTAGATAGGCTGTCGGCCCTACTTATCACAGTATTGAGCCAGTACTAGCCATATGGGGCAGCGCAGACATCCGGGGTTAAACAAAAATACGGGTAGCAACCACACCGCGGCCGGTGAAAACAACTGCAATGAGCATGCGCAGATCAAAGAAAAGATTGCATAACTGGATCCTCGGACTAGCTGGTGCGTGCGTACGTTGCCAAGGTCCCTGTTTGCACCGGCGTAGTAGGCCTACCTGTCATTTTGTGAGAATACCGGATGTCCGTGCTGCCTCGTAGGCAGATCAATTTTTCACCAATTTAGTTGTATGAAATTTCATTCTGTTGGTTATGTGTTCAGTCTGAACATGTCATAAATTTTGTTATTCTTGAGTTTTTTGAGTGGAGATGATGTAAATATAGTGTGTCGTGTGTACGTGTATTCAAACAGTGGAGGCGCACATCACAACTCGAGTCCCTGTATTTGGAGACCCTTTATTTGGAGACAAAAGCAGTCTCCTGAAAGAGAAAATGTCTCCAAGGCGACAAGTTTTCCCAAGTGGGCTTAGGTACAAAAATATCCACATGCTACTGTCAATTTTTCTCCCATATTTTCCATTCATATAATTTAGTTACGTTGTTTTTATGAACTTTGTGCCATGTGACTTGATTAACTATATCATAAAGAATTGATGTTCAAAAAAATTGTTTGAATGAAGTCTTTTCTCCACCCTTTATGTGCCATTGCAGACGCCTGCTTGTAATGGTGGGATCTCCATGCCCACTTGGAAAAAAATTTTCCCCATTGTTTCTTTGTAGGGACTGGTTTTGTCCATAAAGGGACTTCGAAAAACAAGAACTGTCTCCGATGCGCCTTTATTGTCAACAGTGGATAGGTTAGAAAAATGGAGAAAGAGTTCAGTATTCAGCCCATTCTTGGACTTTTGTGAACATCAACATGTTTTGAAAAACATACCTGAAACGACTTTTCCTCGGCTTCAGTTTTACCCAAGCTGAATAGGATGGAGTTTGCCAACAGTGGTGGTGAGTACTATCGTGGAGGTGATGATTTCTATTAAATGTTTCATATTCTTCCAGATCATGTTGAGTGTGAAGCCACATTCATTCTTCTACAAAGAGAAATTGACAACTGGAATGCACTCCAAACGGTTTACAGACTGAGCTTCTCTTCAAAAGCATCAAGGTAATGTAACTTATTCAACAGGAAAGGTTCTTCAGTTTAAAAAGTCATATGCTGCACATTCCAATATTGAATAGTTGTTACTTTTTGCTTCAAGAACAAGTGAAATTTATAAGTGTGCAGACATTTCGTATGAGTTATGAATTTGTAAATAAGAAAGGACAGGACAATTAACACGAGAGACGTAAACACTGGTAAAGGCAAAGAACTGCTAACAAAGTGCAGCAATTGGAAAAAAAAATTCAAAGTATCTTTCCAAATGGCATGAACATCTGCACAACTGTGAAACTCCTTTTGACATATCCATCCTCTCCTCAGGATTAGTCTCCATATTTCAGAGAACTACAAAGAGCCGCAGTCCCCATCCCTAGCTGTCACATGTCCAACGGTAGCCTGGCTGCAAGACTGCTTACTGCCCAAGATAGCCAAGTGGGCATCCAAAGTCAGTGCCGATGCCCCAGTGAAGAGTTCCCAGGTCCTCGTATCCATGGAGAAATACAGCGCTCTGTACGGGAAACTGAAGAAAAAATACGGAGCAAAATTTGTCAAGGTGTGGAAAAAGATTTTTGTCTCTACAGCCCCTTCAAAATCAGACAGGATATACAGAATATAGTGAAATAACCAAATCTCTCTGAATAAAAGAAATTGAACTGATGGCAATAAAAACTAAAATCAAGAAAAGTGTGGATGAAATGTAGTGAAAAGTAATTGCAATTTTGTGATATGTGATTGTAACTTGTATATCTCTACTCTGGGTTACACAGAACCTCGTAGAATCGTTGTAAAAATGGGTATATCTTTGTATTAAGATAATTCTCAACAGTGTTCATTAAATAGAAATCAGTGGTGCAAAATTGAGTTTAGCACTCAGAATTACAGATTCAAATCTAGCAGAGGTTGCACAATCTTTTTGTGAAAACTGTATAAAATAACCGCAGAAGTATTTGGAAAAAAAAGAATTCCAAGTCCTTGATGTCAAGACACCAATGCATTTCTATAAGGTAATAACATGCAATATAGCTTTGAACTTGCAACAAATTCTACTCAGAAATGCTTCCATAATGTCGTATACAAGGATTTGATGAAAAATTGGTCGTAGTATTATGATGATTATTATTTTAAATCAGATTTGGCCAGAGAACACCGATCCCCTGAAGTTTGTGTATGAGGATGTTGCCATAGCAACCTACCTGATTGTTCTGTGGGAGCAAGAGCGGGTGGAGAAGGGGTTGAAGAGTCCCCAGTCCTTTGTTGACTTGGGCTGTGGCAACGGACTGCTGGTGCACATACTCAACGGTGAAGGGGTAAGTTATGGTATGTTGAAGGACGACTCTACGAAGCAGAATTAGAGTAAAAAAGATTGGAACATGTTTTTGGAGAATCAGAATGTACTTTTTTTTTAATTTAACCTTTTTTTTAATCTACTGTTATTGAAAATGCAGTGTTTTCTGAAATTTCCGAATTTGTGTAAAATTCATTTGTGCTGAAAAAGATTTCAGTCCATACATAGTATTTCATTTGTGGAAATGAATTCCAAATTTGAAAAGCGCTCTTTCTTTGTTAACATTAGATTTAAAAACCCATTTGATTTGTTAAAACTGACGTCTGTTTCTCCAAAAACCATATTTCAAGCTATTTGACTTAATTCTGCTGGGCACTAATCCTTGCACATACATGCAGGTATAGACTAATATGCGAACAGTTTTAATGTCCGACTCAAATTATCACAATGAGTTGCAAGTCACCAGGGCAACATTTGATTTGAAGGCCTTTGAAAAGAATCTGACACAATGGAAAATCCCCAGGATTCTCCAACATTTTTCACCACATAATATCAAAATGAAAAAGCTGTGATTGCTTAAACTAAAATAACAATTTCAAAATGGTCTGAAGATTTCATTTTGTGTGGAACCCGATTATATATGATAAAGTTACGTTTTATTTCACGACTATTTTTTTAGTATCCTGGAAAGGGCATCGATTTGAGAAGAAGGAAGATTTGGGACCTGTATGGACCAGAGACCCATCTGGAAGAGTGTTCTATAACTCCATCTGATACTTTCCTTTTCCCGGATTGTGATTGGCTGATTGGCAACCATTCAGATGAGCTGACACCATGGATACCCGTTATGGCAGCAAGGTGTTACTTGGAGTGTTTTCTCTTGGGTTGGATTATTTGGGTCTGGTGAGGCTGAATGTGGTTGGGATGCTTGTATGGGATTGGGTTGGGCTGAGTTGGATCAGGTTGGATTTGATTGGATTGGGTTAGAGTATATAAGATTCGATTGGATTTGTTCGGGCTGGGTTGGATTGGGTTTGGTTCGGTACGTAGGATTGATTTGGTTGGGTTGGATTGGGCTAGGTTAGTCTGGATTGGGTTTGACTTGGTTGGATTTGGTTTGGTTTGGTTTGATTGGGTTGTATTGGGTTGTGTTGGGTTGTATTGGGTTAGGTTAGGTTGGAATTAGGTTAATTGAATTGTGTTTTATTTATTGCATTTGGCTAGGTTGATTTACTTTGGGTTTGTTAGGTTGCACAGGGGTTGATTGACTGATTTTGGGTTTTGCGCAGGATGTATTGGGTTTAGATTGACTTACTGATCAAAATTCTAGCTTGGCTTCAATTGGATTACATTGATTTGCACTGAATCAGGTTGACATGCAGTAAATTGGATTACTTGTGTTCACACTGGGTTTGGATGGGTTAAAGCGGGCATTGAATGGAGAAGGCTTGGTCAGGTTCAGATTGAGTTCTTGTATGCCAGGCTGGCTTGAGTGTGAAAAGAAAGAACAACCCGGGAACAACCCGGAACATCCCATAGCAACCCGGTTTCACCGGATAGCTATCATTCTTGCAGCCACCCCTGTAGCAGTGTGTTCTGAGCTTATATGCAAGTGGCCAACTCCATATTCACAGGTCGTCCTACTCAACCAGATACTTTGTCCTTCCCTGCTGCTTCCACGACTTTGACATGAAGTACATGAGGACCGACCAGACCAAGACCCAGTACCGTGCCTACCTGGACTTTGTTGAGGAAGTGGGGCAGGTGTGTGGCTTCCAAGTGCAAGAGGACACAATGAGAATCCCATCCACCAAAAGGGTGAGACTGATTTCTGCCATTTTGCTGTAGTTTTTTTGGCCATCAGTGAGACTATCTCTCGATACTATCATATCTAGCAGGCAGATGTTATCCAGTAAGTTAATATGTTTAAAAAAATGAATGTACTTACGGCGATGGCCAATAAAATGAAACATATACACATAGTAAAAAAACAAACTCTTCAATGTTTTGGAAGCGGGCACAATTATGTGATGTGACATCTGTTTCTTCAGTAAGTTGGTATGTTGGACTTCATCATTCCGAGCCCTGTGTCATTTGTTTTCTGTGCTACAAAAGCCTATTTCCATGAAATCAACTTTAAGAAGGCCTTAGGCACACGTTTGTGTGTACATCAAATACATCTCAGGTGCTGCAGCATCACATCAATATGACTTTATGGAAATTAAATGTACACCACCCATACAACCCTGTACAGTTGAACCCCAATAATAAGGGGACCGTTGAAACAATATCAGTCTTATAGCAAGATAAATGTTAGGTCCAAAGTGTTATTTTCTTTCTATTACAAATAATACAAGGTCTCTGTAACAACAAGAAAATTTTTACAGTCCCAAAGACCTTGTTATAAAGGTGTTGGACTGTATTGCATCACTTTCATTTAGGAGAACCTGATAGAAACTTTGTTTCCTTTGGGCTTTTTATTTTTTAACTGTATTTATTGTGTGTGTGTTTAATTTAATCTGTAAATTTTGATTCCTGAAAAATAAAGTAAATGTACAAATATCAATACGTCAACCTTGGACAGAGAGATCACCATTATGCACTTTAAAGTAGATTATTGAATGGTATTTTAAATGCCAGTTTTATCACTTGTTTAGATATGCCAAATTGGAAGTCACAGAACCTATCCACGGGAGCAGTCAGAAGACATTCGTCAGCTGATCACAAAATACATTACAAGCCGACGCGCACACAGAACTGCAACCGTCCATGATAAAGAAGTGGAGCTGGCTCAGGAGGGCACCTCATTAACATCTGAAAGAAACGTCAGTGGCACCAGTGCCTCACCTTCTCAAGGACAAAGTGCCGGCTTAAGGTGCGGTAACCAGACTCACTGTCCAGAGTCTGACAGCAGAAGCAGCGAGGCCTCGTTGGTTCAGTGGGCCCCTCGTTTTCAGCCCCGCAAGAGAACTGAGCCGGTCCGGAACTGTGCCAAAGTGGACTATAACTTGAGGCAAAGGATCGTCAATGAGGTGGCACGTGCCATACTGACAGAGGCAGGCTCGGACGTTTCTGACAGTGCGAGAGACAGGAAAGAGAGGAAATTATGGAGGAAAGGAGGTACTTGACTTAACTGTGTTACACTAGACTCTAAGGGTTCGGGCTGCCTGATTTTTCATCCATTTCATCTTATTCCTATCTCATTTGTATTTCTTCTGATGAGTTATCTTTGCCTTTAAAAACCAACATGTGGAAAAAATGAAGTCACGCGGAAAAACCGTCTTAAATGAAGTTCTTCAATTATTTTGAAAACTACTTTTCTGTGACAACTGCTTGTCTTTCTGTCAGGCTCTTTGACGTTTGCTGAGATTGCGAAACTCTTTGACAGTGACACCCTGAAAAACCTGAAGAGTGAATGCGGAGGCTTGAAGACTCTCCTCAAAAACTCCCACCAAGTTTTCCAAGGTAAAAGAAATGCGCCACTGTGATGCCTTAGTGTTTGTAAGGATGGGAAGTGCGTTTTAACTCTTGAGCTTCACCCTCTAAAAGACTATCAGTTGCTTACAAATCACTAACCTCAGTGCCTGAATTAACCCCTTCGTGCCCGATGACGGTAAGAGCCGCCGTAAAAATTGAGATCCTCAGCCCACTTTTCAGCTATTATTCTCGGCCCACGCTCGAGCGAACACAGTGAAAGAAGGCATACCCTGGCTCTTGTATGTA